AAATAAAAAAAATTTAAACCGATCGAGAGCTCGATTGTGGAGGGTACAATGAGGCTCGGCAGAGGGTGTACGTACCTGGTCCGCTTTCAAGACAAGAGAGCAAGCATAGCCGCGATTGTGGTTGTGCAGAGGAAGAGGAGGGAGACAATGAGGGAGTGAGGATGCAATGCAGATGAGGCGGAATTGGATGGGTTGGCGGAGTAGACGAGCTGGGTCGCTCCTTCTGAACGACCGGTCGCCGTCAAGCGGTCGCTAGCCGGGAGACTCGCAGAGACGCCCAGACCAGGCGCCGCCGACCCGATATCCCCCGCGTGCAATGGAGCTCCAGAGGGCGGGAAAGAAGAAGACAAATTTGCCGGGAAAGAAGACGACGAATTTGGCGGGAAAGAAAACGACGAATTTGGCGGGAAAGAAGACGACGAATTTGGCGGGAAAGCAGACGACGAATTTGGCGGGAAAGGCGCGCAGGAGTACAGCTGAGACTTATCTAGTTCCAGCTGGTACACCTCTCCCTTCCCTGTCCCGACATAGAGGTACATGCGCCCTCCCTCCTCCTGGAGAGAGAGGCCCCACATACTGCCATCGGGACTATGTGCCACGGTGTGGATCGTACCTCCAGGTTGGCAAGCGGATTCGACCTTCACCCAGCGGAGGTATCCCGATCCACCGTCCCGACCGACGTCAGTGATGAACACGTTGCAGCCGTCGGGAGTCGCGACCAACGTCTGCATAAAAACGGTCTTGTTCAGGTTCAACCCGTCGACGAGGACGGTAAAAGACGGCCTTGACCCTAAGGAGGAGGAGGAGGAGGAGGAGGAGGAGGGGTAGGAGGAGGTAGGGATCTCGACGGCGAGGAGCCGGCGATGAGTATTATCGAGGGTGTAAAGACAAGTGCCATTGGCGACGAAACTTTGCGGAGAGATCTGGAGTGGGTCGAGACCTCCGACGATGGGCGGGGGGTGGTAGGTCGCAAAGGTAGCGGCTCCGCTTCCGCCAGTCGGGATCCCAGTCTCTGCCACGTCGATAGACAGCAGGCGTTGCTCGTTGGTGACGTACAGCGTCGTCTTCGGAGGGTTGAGCGCGAGCGTCTGGAGATATGATGTCGCGATCGGGATGGACGTCCGGCTCCCGTCGGCGATGGAGAGGTAGACGAGGTACGGCGGCTTCGTACGGGAGGATATCATGAGGTGGGTGCCATCTTTTGGTAGCTCAATCCCCTCGATAAAGGTCATGTGGCAGAACGGTCTGGTATCGTTGCACTCTTCTGGGAAGTCGACACGTGTCCCATTCGGGCTGGACTGTGGCCACCAGTGGCTAATCAACTCCCCGGCCACGTGATCTGCCAATCCCTGCTTGATTGGTCGAAGATCCGCTTTGCGGAATGATAACCAAGTGTTCTTGTAGTTTAGGGACTTGTCCGGATCGGTGAAGACTTCGATCCCTCGCTCATTGAGGGCATAGTACAGCTGGGATCCCGACGAATCAAACAAAAGATCTGTGATAAGAGATAGATAATAAGTCGTCGTGGTGCCATTCGACCTGGGAGGCTGGGGTGGCACTTCAGAGATCACGAGCTTGATGGGGGTTAGCAGAAGACTCGAGCTCTCCGGCAGAATGATGATTGAAGTAGAGTCCACAAGACCGGTCGTTGGCGGAGGAGATTGAAGAGACCGGCGGTCGTTCGTCTTTCGGCGGACAAGGACCGTGTCCTGAACGTCGTCAAGCCGGGGATGATCCGCTTGTGAGGTCGTCGTCGATCTGCCGACCGGTCGCCCGGCGGAGCTCCTTCTCCAATCAAGAATGGGGATGAGAGATTCGGATTCGACCGGATCGGTCGCCGCCAAGGGTTGAAGAAGAGACCGGCGGCGGTCGTCCACATTTGGGAGGAGGAGGACGGCGACCGGGTCGTCAACACTGTCGCTGGGAAACCGAAGAAGATCATCCTCTGAGGTCGTCGTCATTCCAGCGACCGGTCGCTCATTGGCGGTCCCCGCGGCTGTTGCAACAGCGCGGCAGACGACCCAAGGCATCATCATCTGCTGACTGAGCAGCAGCAGGCAACCGAGGAGTACGTGTACCGACATACGGAATCTTAACCTTGAAGGCATCCCGATCCCGACTGAGTGGAAGAACGTGCGAGAAGAAGCGCGCCGCAGATCCCCCGCCGCCTTCCCCATTGCTGCTGCCAAGAGTGGATGATGATGATGATCCCCCCCCCTCCCCGCTGTGCCCGCTAATTACCCCCCACCGACCGCCGTGCCGCTAATCAGGACTCGTACGTACGGTCGATGAATGGGATATGGGATGCCACGTGTCCTCTCCTCGGCGCACAACACACGAATCAACCAATTAATCTGCACCCGTAACTGAAATAATTGCAGTCTGTCCTCCCGTCCTTCGCGTCACCGACAAGATGACAGCTCAACCAATTACAAAACGCAGACCTGCTGAATCTTCCTCCTCAGGTTAAGTGGCAATCCGCTCTACAATCCACAGAACCACGTCACGCAGAGTAGGCTCCCCCCTCCATCAGTCCCAACATCGATAAGAGTGCATATCAGAAACCCATCGCCGTACAACAAGCGTTGAAATTACGATCCCTTGCGGCAACGACGAACAGTAGAAACGTTCAAATCAATAATAGCAGCAACGACAAGAGTACACATCCCAATTCAAACCCAGCGACCAAGACTACAGCTCATTGCAGCTCCACCAATTAACGCAGACCACGTGGCTGCTGATTTCACCAATTAACGCAGACCACGTGGCTGCTGATTCCACCAATTAACGCAGACCACGTGGCTGCTGATTCCACCAATTAACGCAGACCACGTGGCTG